TCTGAAAAAGGCTTAGCACTGTCTTCTCTGCTGAGGTTTTGTTGCAAGCTTCCATCATATTTTGTTTTGTGAGAAGGTTGTTGAGGGATGAGGGAAGCATTGCATCGTGGAAACTGGATCTATAACTGCAGGCCAGTCCCGTGGCAGGCAGCGCATCTAGATGTGGCTGAGCAGAACAGTTTGCAGAGGAGGGAGGAATGCTCTGCAGAATGCTGTCTGCTGGGATGGTTGGGGCGTTCTGCCTTTCCAAGTTCTTAACGTGGCAGAATGCATTTGGCATCTGCTTTTTCATTTCCTTTCACTCAGGCAAGGAGGGACTCATTTCTGTCCCATCAGAGCCAAGGTGTTGAGTTTCTGCTAGTAATAAGATCCTTCAGAGAATGATCTATTTAATTTTATAAGCAACCTTCTATACTGGCTCTTACTTCTCACATACTTTTATTCTCCTTCGTAATGATTTTAATGTACTCCTTTAAAGTAGTACAATCCATTAATTTAAATACAAACAAAATATTTATCCAGAAGCTGGTCACAGCAAGTTCAGACATGTACTTTTGGGTCTCTCCAGCAGGCATCAATAACTTCACTACTTTGTGTTACTGTACTCTCGTTATATCCTGCTTCTTTTGCAGGGTTTTGATTAGAAAAATTGAAGCTTTTTTTTTTTTCTTTCATGGTACATGTCTACCTGGTAAGCTAGCCTTAGGAACAATTAAAAAAAAAAAAAAAAAAAAAAAAACAGAAAGCTAGATACCTGTTTTATAAGGAAATATTTCCTAACAGCTGTGTAATGGTGTTGGCATTGCAGATACTGCAATATTGTCCTGGTGCATGGAAACACTGGTTCTTATGTGTATTTCAGAGATGGGGAAATGCGGGATCTGTCTATACAAACAAGCTCAATTCTAATATTCTTTTGATTATTCGTTTTATTGTTAGTTTGTTTTTTTCTAATCCTCTCAAAATAATTTTCTAGGTTGTCCTTAAAAAGGGATGGGAGAAAAAAGCTGATTGGTGGTAGAAACAGGGAATCTTACAGACAACCTTCCGCATTCATCTTGTGGTATAAAAGTTATGCAGCTATGACAGATCTTACAAAGCTTAGCTACAGCTTAATTTACAATCTTATTGCCAATATATAGTGCAAATTAAAGTATGATACGATGTGTGGTCATCTGAAATTAAAACTTGATATTTAAATGTCAAAAGCCTATTTAGAGTTAGCTTCTTTCCTTCTATACACCTTGATGGGGGGGGGGGGAAATCGGTATTATCTGTTTCCTTATTTACTTTTTAATTTAATATCTATTTTGTCCCTTGTAGGCATCCATACAGTATCAGGCACAGCAGGCCTATAGGGACTACTTTATAAGTATAATACAGGCACATGGTAGAGTAAGTTGAAGAATTACTGAGGCTGGAGTACTGCCCTTGTCAAGTGATCCAGTGCTTCTGTTGGTCTTTGATTTTGCTGCACAAAACTTGCCGTGTGGACAGCCCTGCTCCTGACCAGTTTACGATGTCAGGCACAGTATACAGGGGGCATATTAATGTGTCTGGCATGTCATGTCAAATATGGTGAGCCCTAGCATTACATCATGTGGAAAATGTGCCAAGGGGCTGGGTTACTTAGTATGTTTGGTTGCTTTGAAACCAGAGGTCCTTCAGTCCTTTATCACCAGGACAAAAAATAGGGAAAATTCCCATGGAAGTTGTAGGGACAAGAACTTAAAGGGTTTGGTGGTATCTACCTGAAAGTCCTGTGACTTCCAGATACGAGTGCAGACACTCGCAGTGTGTGGCATGCCAAGTTCTTTGGGAACTATGCTTGGCTTAAACCCATTCGTGTACAAATTTCTGTGGTCCCTAGGGAGAGGAGAAAATACAGCAAAAACTAGCATGGTGATCCACATCAGCTGGGACTCACTGGAATGTCTAACCAAGACTCACAGAGGGGAAAGTCACTTTCTGTTCCTCTTTTAACAAATCTGTAGCTGTGTCTGACAGATTATTTTTTTGGTGTGTCTGTCAGCTTTAAGAGTCCCAGGCTGCTTGCAACTGCCCCGTGCCACTTCATTCTTGTCTATTACACTGGCTCGATTGTTTGTGCAGCTGTGTAGTAAAATGATTCTGCTGGAGCAGGGAAGACTATATATTTATGATTTGTATATGTATTTATGGTATTTATAAATGTGTTTAAGCAGGAAGCTATTTCTTGGCCAGATCAATTACCTTATTCATGTCGTGGCCTCCCACGCTGCTCCACCAGCGCACTGGGGAGCAGGGCCCTGAGAGGATGAGCAGAGCCTGCAGACGCCTGGGCTGGCAGGGAGCAGAGAGCTGGGCTGGAGTGGGGATCAGAGCGTGTCACAACCCCTTGCTGCTTGTTCACACCTCCGAGGTTATTGTTGTGCACGTCCCTCCACGGAGAAAGTTTTGTGGCCTTCAGAACTACTGTTGGATTTTCCAACTTGGGAGGGAATGCTGGGCTAATGAATTTAATTGAAGCATGTTGTGTAATATATCAGAATATACTGTGATTGTGGTTGCATTAACAGTATTCTAATATAAATTTTCCTCTACTGCGGTTAGCCTCACGAGCAGCTTTTAAAATCTGTTGTCAAGCAATAATACTGGCATCTGAAATTGGGCTGCCCTGTCTATCAGAAGGACGGGAGACTTGTCTTTTGTTAGTGCTAGAGAGAATGGAGTAAATACTGTGTGCTGTGTAGTCTTGCAGGGTGAGAGTTTGCACCTGGGCGGTTCCTGCAAGGCTGCTGCCATGTGGCAGTGCCAGCCTGTGATGGTTTAGCTCTGTTTCAAATCTCTGTGGTTCCTAGAAGAAAAGTGGAGTAAAACAGCCCAGCTGTGGAGTGCCAGTCAGCTTTGTGTCGTTTATGGTGAGTTTTTTAGCCTGGCTTCTGAAGGAAGAGAATCATGCTGTCTTTCTGTCCCTACTCCATTGAATCTTGAGCCTCTTGGCCAGTATGAGGAAAAGATGATAAAATCTGTGAGAACTTCCATATAAATAGGTGCCCAGGAAGGAGGGAAGTTTCTTCAAGTTCTCTCCCAGGGAAAGGGTACCGTGCAAATTGGTTAGAATAGAGAAAAATTGGTACGAGAGAAACGCAGGCTATGAATCCGTGGGCTGCAGACAAGCTGTGCCCAGAGCTCGTGGCGGCGGGAGCTGGAGCGGGAAGCTGTGGGGAACAAGGCTCGGTTACTGACAGGGATCACGGCGCCACGGATTTTGTTTTCCTTGCGCCTTTTGATGCTCCCAGCATCACGCCATCGAGCTGCAGTCGTTCTTTACTAACCAAACTGAAAGGCTTTTGAGAATGCAAACCTGAAACAATCCTGCAGGCGGCTGGTGGGGCCGTGGTGGCGGCGGGAGCAGCCGGGCTCCATTTTGGATGCGTGGCCGCTGCTATTCCGAGTCGCTCTAAGCTGCGCAGCGCTGCCTAACTTCCTGCTGCTTTCTAGCTGCTTAAGTCCTCGGCTTTTTTTTTTTTTTTTTCAAACCAGCTGCTTTTGTCGCGTGCATCCTTTCTGCCAAGGGGAGAGCACAGTAACAGTAGCAAAGCCACGGTTTATTCTCTGGTGTAGGTTGAAGAGTGTCTGTAAGTGTGTTAGAGCCCAGCGCCAGGAGAAGGCACTGGTCAACTACTGCAAACTAGCTGGTCTTTTTCTCGGCTCCAAACCGTAACTGTGCCACTCTGAGACGTTCTCTGTCAAAATCGGGGGGAGGTTTGGATTAGGATTGAAATGGGAAGACAAAGGAGAACACAACTACCCTGCTTCTTTACTGATTGACAAACAGAGCAGCAACCAAATTGTCTTCCCTGCTGCCTGTTAAATGCTTTTAGGAAACACATGCTGTTCTTGTGGATCTCGCTGCTGCTGCTCTTTGCAGCTTTTCCATTAACTGCCTGCTACTAGGTGGAAACCCAGTCATTTACTAAATGCAAAATAATGCATCTTGAGTTGTAAACAAAAGACAGAAGCTTGATTTTGTTGTTGGTGTGTGTTTTTAGGGGGTTATATGTGTCCTCACCCTCATTCTTTAACATTTCTCTAGTACCTCTGGAACACCAGCCTTAGAATGGTTGGGTTGATACTTTGTTCTTGTGAAGAAATATGTTTGTCCCTAGCTTTTAGGTTGAGTGTCTTGGTGTTTTACTGGTTTTTGCTGTTGTGATGGAGGAGATGAGGGAAAGATACTGTTAGAGCTTCCAGCTGAGTGAGCCTGAGGCACAAAAGGAGCAAATGAGGTAAAGAAATCTCAACTCTCAGTAATGCAGTACTTCTTTGGTTCATCTTACCATGCCATTACTAGATAAGTTTATGTTTGGGAATAAATGTGTTAAATTTCGTAGGGATTTCAAAAGCCCTAGTAGAGCCAACTCAGATTTCCAGTTCACACTGTTGTGCTGCCAGCTGTGTAGGTGGAGCTCCCACTGGAGCAGGTGGATACTTTAGTTAATTGGCTAGAGGGACCACTGGGGGTTGCTGTGTGATGTGATATGATATAGATGTACCTGGTGATGTTCTTGTGTTCTTGCTTGGCAAATCTAGAAGAGCCTTGATACAAAGCTGCTTTTAAATACTATCATAAATTTGCCAGGCTTCTTTAAGTTGCTGTAATGTATAGGGAGACGAATCTTCACCATAATCTTTGTTCTGCTGTTGCCTGGATGCTTTTGACTCTGTAACAAAAACACTGACTTAATCTTCTCTTTCAGTCTCCAGAGGGTGCTGAAGGCAAGGATGCAGCAAAAGTAACTAAGCAAGAGGCAAGTACATATTTTTTATTATTATTTTTTAATTTATCATGGCATGTAATTATTTAACTGGAGATCTGCAGTCTTGCGTATCATAAGACTATGCACTGCTCTGGCACTTCTAATGGGCTGTTGTCAGTGGCACTAATGACGGTAAACCTCATTTGTAGCTTATCTGGCATAATTTGGGTTTGGTTCACTGAGGATGCATACAAATTCCTAGCACACAATATAAGTTTAAGAAACACTTAGGGCTTTGTTAGACAAGATCTGGTGGATCTTGTGACAACAGTGTAGGATGCAACTTCTTGGAACTGTTGCTGTCTCTGGTGGGTTGGCAGAAGAAGGTTAATGCACACACCTTAGCTAGTCTGTTTCAAAACTATTCTTAGCTTAAGTGACTGATGGAAGGGTGTCTTGAATTAAGATACCAGGCTCTAAACTGGAGCAGCTGACACATTTGTGTGTTTTCTTTGTCTGAATTTGTTGTAAGGGCACAGTAACTTCTGTCAGAGAAAGCAAGGAGACAGCTGGTGATACTTTGGCCTCTACAGTAAAGTTTGCTAGTTTTTTTTGTTGCAGCTTTTAATGTAGGTTTGAAAAACCAGAATTACAAGGATTCATTTGCTTAGGTTGACTTCTTTTGTGGCAGACAAAGTTAAATCAGGACCTTGAAAAGAATGAGTGAATATTCAAATGAATTAACGATCAGTTGCCTTTCTTGTAAACCTTTGAGAGTATCTGAACAGGAAAAATAGTTTAATGAAGCTCTATGCTTTTTGAATTGAAAAGTTGGTTGTTGCTCAGTCCAGCAGAAAAAGATGGCACAGTAGAAATGTCAAAATGTTTCAAACAATAGTAAAGTTTACAATAAACTCCTGAAAAACAAAACAAACAAAAAAAAAAACCAGGTAGAGTAAAAAGGAGGTATGGGAGGAGTAGATTTTGATACTTAAGTATCTTCTTATGGAATTTCCTAGAAGACAAATTAGTTTCTTTTTCATTAAGTATGAAAAGGCTGACTAAATAATAGTAAAAGTATAGTCTCCTTGGCTTTGAATGGTTTTCTCTGTCCAAGTTTAAATATTATTTCCTCTAGAGACAGAGAAGTCAAGAGTTCCTTTCCCTGACAATGAGAAACCTAATTGCTAGAATACAGATATTAATAAATAATATAATGTAATAAATATAATAAAATACAAATACTTTTCTGCAGAAAGCTTGCAGAGGTACATAAGCTCTGGAGGGAGCCATTGACTCTGAAATACAAGAGCCCTTAGAGTAGCCTTCAGTCAAGGTGAGATAATAGTGGCTGTTGATGCTAGAGGGGGAAAAATAAAAGGTCACAAATCAAGGTAGTCTGAGTAGACAGACCTGTAGCTTAGTGTGTGAATGGGGAAAATAGCTGTAGGGTGAGATTTGAAACTGTGGGTGCCCTCAGAATGAATAGGTAGAACTTGGAATAGGAAGGGTGGCTTCAGTCTGAACCGAAAGAGACCTGTGTGGATGGCACCGAGGAGGCTTCCTGAATTATTTTAGATGAAACATCTGAGGGGAGATTGTCAAGAACTTGAGAGCACATCGAGTGAAGTCAGACCTCCCTGTCAGGGCAGAGATCAGGGGCTAGCACAGAAGCTATAAAAGTTTGCATCTGAAAAGGTGCAAGGAGAAAAGTGAAAGGAGAAGTCTTGAGAAATAAAGCCCTGTTTGATTCATGCCTATGAAAACAGGTAGCCAAGCTGGAATACAAAAGTTGAAAATCTAAATCTGGGCAATTTGGACTATCTGACTTTAAAAGAGGGCATCGATATAATGGGCAGCTTTTTGGGACACCGTGACACCAAGGCACAGATTATACAGGGTTGAGAGCTAAGTTGCATGAGTGTGGTAGAGTGACTTTCTGTTAGATGTCGTTAATATTTTTCTAGATTAATTGTATCAATAAGTACAGCAGAATCCCTCACTGATTGCAAAGCCATGTGTAAATGGGAAGCATGTAATGTAGAAATTGTGCCAAGTATCATCTGACCACAATAATAAAAGTGGCAGTGGGATGATGATAAGGATGATCAGAGAGACTCTGAGGATAGAAACAGTGTTAATGGAGATTTCAGTTACCTGCAGATATTGGGTAAAAGGCACAGGATGGCATTACAAAGACAAAAAAGTTAAACCTATAAACACTTGCTACCTGGAGGAACAAATTGAAGGACCAATAAAAGGATAATCAGCTCTTTATTTGGTCCTCAGTAGTATGCAGGAGCTAGTTAAAAAGACAGTTGTCGGAGAACTAGTCTGTAGTTATGACCATAATATATTCAGGTTGATCATCCTTGCAGGAATCTAAATGCAAATAAATGCTGCTATGGTAAGATTTTATACCAAGATAGGGAATTTTATTAAAAATGAGAGACTATTAAAAGGAGCAGCTAAAAAGTTTAGTGGTTTCAGGTGGCAGAGAGGCTTTTTGGTATGTCATGGTAGGGCCTTGCAGAAATGCATATTTTTCAGAAGCCCCTGCTTCCCTCTCCCCCCCAAAAAAAAGCCAGAAGGGCTTAATAGCAAAATAAGGGGAATGTATTATCTTCAAAAGGTATTTTTTGTATTGATGAAAAATAATGAGGAAAGGAGCAAACCATCCAGCGTAGCAAATGTGAAGCTGAAAGACAGGAACAAAACTCATGCTATAGAGAATTCTTAGGGATGTTCTTCCAGTGGAGCCTTTTCTCATGAGTGTAGAATCTGGAGGACATTCTTTGAGTGTGAGAACTGGACAGTATCCACCAGCAATTGCCAGGCTGTGAAGAGCAGTATGTAATTTACTGCTTGTATTGGCCTCACCACCAGAGTAACTGAAGGTGATGAAATGCCCCCAGGACTTCAGATCAGGGGTTCTGGAAAATAAAGTCTACGATTCTAACTTGCAACAGTAGGTTGGTTTTGTGGTTTGTTTTGCGTATGTTTGTTTTTTTGGTGTGTGCGTTTGTTGTTGGTTTGTTTTTGTTTTTTTTTTTTTTTTTTTTTAAAGTGCAAGTGGACAAATGTGTAACGGGAGAGTTGACATGGATTTTTGGAGAGACAAGTCATGCTTCAGGCAATTGAGCTCTTTGTAGAAGTCACCAGGTATAAGAATGATAGCATGCCAGTTGATACAGTTTACCTGCATGTGAGGAACATTTTTTGATAAGGCTCCCAAAGCAGGTTCTGAAAGAACCTAAGCCAGGGTGGATTAAAGGGAAGATCTCCTAAGTGTTGGTAACAGATAAAGATCTGAAAAGATCTGCAGGGAAGTAGTAGTTACTTTTCACAGTGGAGGAGAATTATCAGTGGAGTATTGGAAAGGTTTGTGTTTGGACTTGTGATTTTGAATATATTACATAGCGATCTAGGAGAAGAGGTACTGGAGAAATTATGAAGCTTGCTGAAGCTTACCAAAAATTATCAGGGTAGTCAGAATTGAGAGAGACTGAGAAGGCTGTTATGTCACTGATAACTAGGTGATAGAATATTCATAGAAATTCTGTATGGAGAACTGCAAATTAATACACAGGAAGGAGGGGAAGACACAATGGTAGTCACCAAATCGGCTAATTGGGAGGAGATTGTGACATCACAGTGAATAGTAACTGGAAAATGTCAGGTCTTCCAAACAAAAAGTAACTGGTTACTAGTTACTGCCACAGGATGTTAGGGAAACTGAAAGTGTAAATGGGTCCACTGGGTTATTAGACAAATTTATGGACAAAATGACCCTTGGGGACTATTAAACCCGTGATGTGGGTGTAATACCCAGGTTGGAAAGTTCACAATTTGAGATTGCAAGAAGCTGGCACGGGAGGAAAGTGCAAAGTGTGGTTCTGTTTCTGCTGCATTCATAGGCTCTTGCCGTAGATGTTTGCAAGTGGGACAGTATCAAATGGGCTCTTGGGCAAGCTGCTAGTGTCTGGGTTAGTACAGCTGTTTGGTGGAGGAAGAAAGGTTCCAAAAGCACATTAAAATGTGACCTTTGCTGACTTGACTGCTGTTCCCTCCTTACGATCAGATAACACAAAACACAAACAGACTAAGAATTAAAATTACTCAGCTGTCAGGCATTTTTAAAGAGCTGCAGGTTTATGCTGACTTAGGGCAAAACAAGCCTTCTGTGAAACCAGTCATGGAACTGGGAATGTGGGAATTATGATTTATCTAAACCAATGTAATATCCTTTAAAAAGTAGATGCTAACAAAACATTGCAGTTCCTGAAAGCTGAGGGATAGAAATCATCAGTTAAGAAAACAGATCTGGAAAAGAAGATACCTTGAACTAGGAGTTCTTTGGTTACCTGACCAAGTGAAATACCTTATTTAATCTGTTACAAAATAGTGCTATGCTGCTTAACAAGCAGTTGATAGTTGAAATTGCCAAGAAAAGAGAAGTTTACTTTTTTGTTGTTTTGTTAATGGCAGGTAAGTATTTCATAGCTGAAAATAGGTGTTTTTTGACAAGACTTCTGGATGCAGCTCTGAACTATTCACTGCTGCTTTCCACCAAGAATACTTAAATGGCTCCAATGAATACAAATAACTGCATTCTTCAGATACTACCAACAGCTTTTTCCTGTTGGAAGATGTGTGAGCCATGGTTTTTTTCAGCTCAGCTTAAAAGTTTAGTATGTAATTAAGATCTTTGTGGTTAACTTCATAGAATGTGTTACACTGGATATTTGTTACAATTGAGTTGTCTGTCCCTTTATTATGGCTACAAGTGTGATTCCAGTTTTGTGATACCAACCAAACTCTAACTCTCATAACCTTTCTGTGCAACTGGATGGTGGGTTCATGTCTTATAATGAATACAAAATACTGTGAACAAACTAATGAGCTCACAACTATTTCTAAGACGTAACTCATCTTCAGTAATACATTTATGACAAAGAACAGAGCAAAATAAAATTCAATCAAGAAGATGTGTTGAAGTGGTAAAGACAGGTGGAGGAATGCAGAATATCTGACTTCTTTCTTTTTAAGATTTATGTTTCAATAGAAGAAATAACTTCTCCCTCTACTCTTGCAGCTGTCTGTGCATCTGGACTCTCAGACTGAGTGTGTGAGAAACTGAGGAAGTGGAAGGACTTAAGTTGCATGTTTTGAAATTTTAGCACTTGGATATCCTCTGGGGAGGGATGTTGAATTTATTCTTTTGCTAATCTGATAGTGTTTATACCCACTATTCCAACCAGCATCTGCTGGATAATAGAGACATCTCTCTCAAGTATGTATGAGCCAGGTCCTGTGCGCAGGTGGTCGAGCTCGCTGGAGCTGTGAACCTTCCAGAGAACAGCAAGGGACTGGGATACTTGTGAAATAGGGGGTGCGGGATGTATCTGTCCGTATGGAGATTTAGACATTCTAATTCCTCAACAGTTTTGATGACTAACTTTTACAGCACTTTGTCACTTTAAAATTCTGATCGTCCAAGGTGAGGAAGATGTGAACTGTGTTTTGGAAGTAAAGACATATTTTGGTAGAGGCATATTTTATGCTGTTGTCACGGAATGACTGATGTTGTGTGGCTTTGTGTACTGTCTGCTGTAAGCCTATAAACATTTTGTTCTGCTTTTTTTTCTGTAGCCCACAAGACGATCAGCAAGATTGTCAGCTGTAAGTATGTGTTTCACCTCTTGGTATATACTTTTCTAGGCACATACAGATTTTTAGATCAAACAGGTTTGTTACATTTTGCTTGTTTCAATTTTTATTCCTAAGAACTGCAGAGCTAAAGTTATCTGTGTTTTCTTGGTTTCAGGTTTCAGGTTGTTCTGACAAAAAGATGTATTTCCCCACCTCAGTGCAACATTGTCCGTTCTGTGCAGTATTGACTTTGTATCGCTTTGCAGGCTGATGGTAGTTTTGGATATGCAACTGCTTCTCTGGGAAGGAGAAGGAGCTGTCCTTCAAGGACTTCATTTGACACCACTACTAGTATTTGGTTTTAGTTCTTCTCTGTTAGAACATATCAGACTTTTTTTTTTAATAGTTACTGCTAATCTCCACATTTTACTCTTAGAATGAGCCCCAAATTGCTTTGACTACTAGAGGAGTGAGCTAATGGCAGTGGGTGTGTGCAGTGATGAGGAGCATTTGTGCATTGAGGTTTTGAGTCTTTCTCTAGGTGTATACTGATGAGCAGGAAGTAAGGGCAGGTGTGGTGGTGGGAAGCTGGGGTGTGGAGGTGGCTGGCTGCCTTCTGGTGATATGTCTAACACTCTGCAACCAAAAATGTTTTATAGAAACCTGCTCCACCAAAACCTGAACCCAAACCAAGGAAAACCACGAAGGTAAATACTCTTCTTTTTAGTTGCCAACGCTGTGGCCAGTAGTAAGCAAGTATACTCCTTGTTTGCATTGCAGACAGTTCAGTTCACAGTGGTTTTGTGAGCCATGTATCCCCTGCCCTTCCCACAGCTCCCTGTCCTGTCCCTGTCCCACCACCCATGTGGGGGGAAAAAAAAAACCAAAACAAACAGAACAAACCACAAACAACAAAACCCCAAATGAGATCATTCTTTCATTTCTGTTCCACCCCTTCCTGGCCTCATTACAGTCCCAAACAAAATGTCTTGCCTGTTTGATATGCAGACCATGCTAGTTTGTAGTGAATTCCTAGTTTAAGAAGGATCTTTACCTTTCCTACACCTTTCCTGAAACACACGGGTTTGTTTAAGGAAGGTCTATGTGAGACCTAGCAATTTCTGCAGTAGGATTTGAGATTACTCTGTGCCATCCTATTTCCTTGTCTAGAGGGGCAGCACTTAATTTTGTAGTGAGAAACTCTTATCTGTTCTTGAAGCCTGGCTGTTGCTGAGAATGCACAATTATAATTAAAGGTGAAATTAAATATATTTAAATCGAATGGTTTGGGGTTTCTAGGCCAGTTACAGTCAAATTAAAATCTTATTAGTGTCTGAAATACCTTTTCAGGATTTCTGCATATAAATCATGTACTTCAGAAACTGTAGATTTATTTGTGTCCCAGGGGAATGTTAAATAAGAGCAATTGCTTTATCAGGAGAGGAAAAAAAAAAAAAAGCAAACAACGGGTGCTGGAAACTGAGTCTAGCAGTCCTCACACATTTTTTTGTGGTATCTCAATTGGGCAAGTATCAGGATACAAAGTCCATGTGTGGTAGTGAAACCCTTGACTTTCAACGTTTTATGATTTATCAGATGACATGGCCAATAAAGTCTTGTGGAGTCCATCCTGCCTTCTTAGAAAGACTATTGATAAAGAAGGGAATAGGGTAACTCCCGTAGCTTCACGTACATGCTGTGAAATGAGCTCAGTGTTACGCAGTCGGTCTGAGCTGCCTCAGAGGCATTTGAAGCTCATTTCAGGCAACACAAATCATTTATGATATTTTTCAAAGTAACTTTTTAGTACAGTAATCTGTTTTTTTCTAAACTCTAACAGGATTGCATTTTAAGGAGTATATTCGTTGTGGTCTCCTAAACAGGAAGAGCAAGTGTGTGCTCTGAAACTGCTAGGAAATAGCCAAAAAGGATACAGATTTGAGATCACTTTTAGTGTTAAAAGGTTGCAAATTATGGATTTACTAAGCCAAGTCCTTAGAATATTCTTTTGTAGTTGAAGAGTTAGGACTCTACTCACACCACTGGGAAGCTTCTCAGTTGAACACCACAGCAGCCACGTAACACTGAAGCTGAAGGGTGGAAGCAGGAATTTGGGCTGCCCTGGAACTGGGATCACTGGCACTCCCTCCTCACTGCCCCACTCTTGTGTGGGGATTGCTGGAGAAGGGTAGCTGATGAAAGGAGACTGACCTTAATATCCCTGTTCACAGCTACTATTGCCGTTTTGCATGGAAAATTTGGAGCAAATGATCACATGGAAGATTGCACAGTGTTTATCACAACTACTTCATATGTTAATGTGAAATATTCAACTAAATACTATTTAAATTTTTATCCCATTGCACTCAAAATCCTTAACTGGTGTCTCTGTTAGCCCTGGATCACAAATATAAATATTTATACAGAGCAAGACTTTTTAAAAAAGTCATCTTCAACACATGAATTGTTTAAGAGCAAATCTCCAAGTGAAACTGTAGCTGTTGGAATAGTTCCTTCTGACAAATTCTCTGCTTTGTGTTGCTGCAGATGGAATGTTATCAGTGTTTGCCTCCCTAGTGTGTTGGTTGGCTCTTTCATTGACATGGAACGAACATCACAGATGTTACCAAACTAACAAAAGGACATCCAACAAAAATGCTTAATTTTTTAAAATCTAATTTAATATTTCTTGTTAATCAAAAGCGTAACGCTGTTGCACAAACAGTGTGGTGTTTGTGCTCTGCTGAATAAGCTTTCATTGCACTGTAATTAGATTTGTTCATACAGATGTCTTGTGTATACCTCTATAATACAGCTCGGCTCTGCCAAAATAGTTTGTGGGGTTTTTGGGTCCCTTTTAAAACAATAAGAAAGTTGACCATCAGCATTTTCTAGATATGTTGAGACTCTGGATACATGTTTTTGCAGGTAGTTTTTAGCTGGTTTTCTGTTTGAATCCAGCTTGCCAAGATTTGCTTTTTAGTTCATAGGAAGTTTTTATGATGAAGGTGTAGGGTGCCGGCTACTCACACAATGTCTACGCCCATGTTTTTAATCTTCTGTTAGAAGGAACCTGGAACAAAGGCCAACAAAGGTGCTAAAGGGAAGAAGGATGAAAAGCAAGAAGCTGCAAAGGAAGGTACTACACCATCTGAAAATGGTGAAAATAAAGCTGAAGAGGTACTTCCCACACATACCTCCTGCTGACTGAATCAGCGCTTTTTAATTATTGAGCTTTTCAGACCTTGATAGCATGTTCATAATGTTTCTTTTTATTGCCCATGATGTTATTGCAGATTCGCATCTCTCGCTCCACTGTTAGTGTTTCAACATCCCGAGGTGCCCCACCCAGCACACTGTCAGTAAAAGGGCAGATTGAAAGAGTGAAAGTTGGGGGTACGGTAGAGCATTCATTCAGCATTGTGTGCAGTGAATAGAAACAGGTAGTGGTGTGGTGCTTGTCAGTGTGACCCGTGGAAGCCGACAGGTAAGGCTCATACCCCTTTTGGCAGCTGGGAGCAATCACTTAAGGAAGGCGTGTGGATGGACCTGGTTGGAGGGTTCAAGTGCACGTGGACCTAGGTTCGGACCCGAGCTGTTGCTGCAGATAAGAGATGGAAGGAGTGAGGAGTAGTTGGGGTATTGAGCTGTGCGATGGCAGTGTACTGTAGTAATTAATTTCTTTCTTTCTTCTCCGCAGGCTCAGAAAACTGAATCTGTAGGTGACAAGAATGAATGAAATATCATGAAAATTTTGGGTTGATTTTATGTACCTCTTGGACAACTTTTAAAAGATATTTTTATCAAGTATTTTGTAAATGCTAATTTTTTTAGGACTATGATAGCTGACATATTAAACTGTATATGAACAATTCCCTTCTCATAACAGTGCTTTTAGAAATTCCCGTTGTTGCCAAGTAATATAAATATCAACTTAATATTGCAAGGTATGTGTAAAATTGGATCAGCATTCCATACACTTGCTTTGAGAAATTAAGTCTTGTGCATATGGTGATGTTTTTACTGTGCGTATTTGAATTTTTCATGCAGTTTTTTCTAGAGCAATAATCAGTGGTGCTTTTGTACTTAGGGTTTATGTGATTTTAATGAAACATGGATAGATGTGGCCACCTGCTGACTATTTTGGGTTCTTTTAATGGATTAAAATAAAAGGTCTCCTTGCCTGCAAAACTACAGCCTCCTAATGTTTTCTCTAAACCTGAGGAATGCCTTATTCATATTTTCAGCTGTTACAAGGAAGACTAAATGATTTAGCAACAATTATTTTGCATGCAATCTGTTTGCTTTTTTGCTGATGCCTGACTAAAAAGACCCACGCAGGAGTAGCAGGCTGGGATTTTCAGTGGCCCACAACTTAAGGAGCTCTAGATTCATTCTTCATAGATCCCTCCTTCAGCTATACTGTCACAGGGTGAGTAGAGTTGCCATACTCTGTCAGGATATTGTGTCTGTGATGAGCTACCAATGCAGAATGAAGCGCTTGATTGATAGAGACGTACAGTAACTTAAAAGCAGCTCAGTTTCTCCCCCATTCTCTTTTCATTGACTTGCCTCGTACTCTCTGGAAACCTTTCTTTCTATCTGCAGCCTCAATATAAATAGTAATTGCTGTTCTGCTTCAGCTGAGGACAGTTGTTAATACATGGAAATTGCTGTTAAACAGCACTATATATTTGGTACCTGCTAGAAACAGAACAATTGGAAGTTATTTTTGAGGTTGTTGTGCTGATATGGTAAATTAGCTAATGATTTTTTTTAGTGTCCATGTTTCAACTCTGCAGTTCATTCTAAGCACCTTTTATAATTTTTCTCCTTTTCTTTTCTCTAGGGGCCCTGGTATTTCTATTGTTACTTCTGGGATGGGAGGGGTGAGAGAAAAAGATGTTCCCTGTGCTTCGGTAGCATTGATTTGTATTGCTGGAAGTGGTGGCCATTATGTCTGAGGATACCTTTTGCTTGTTTAAGCCAATAAATAAATGACTGTTGCTTGACCTAGTGTTCCATTTTTTGTGAAGAAATCTCCAGTTGCCTTCTTTAATTAAAACAGAAAAGAAGCCAAGCCTCCCTATACTGAAAAATTTAAGATGGATTACCAAACCCCTATATTCTAACTAGAATAGTAGCTAAGACCTGCACTGAAATAAATGCCTCTTGTGCTCTTGTGGATAGATTTGCTACAGCCAAATAAGAGGAGGCTGTTGTCTGCATCATGAACTCAGTTGGGAAGAAAATGTAAACTAATTTTCTGCTTCTGGTGGTGGAAGGCAGAGGGCTGTAATGAAACTTGCAGCCTAATGAGAAGGAAAGTCCATACTGTTACTCAGTGATACATTCTGATTTGCTTTCTGATGGACTTAATTCAGACACTAAGCTCATGGGGAGTTTAACTGAACTTTATCACAGAATCATCAGTGCTCGTTCTAAGCATTTGTCAATTTACAGGTTTATTGTTCCTATGAGGAGGGGTTTTGTATACTCTCATCATTTTGTGTGGATAACACAGAGATTCTTACCTAGACAGTTGGAGTTCTTGAAATGACCCTTTTAACTTAGCTTTAACTTAGGCATGAGTATCACAAGACACTGACATGTTCCTAGACAGGCTTACTTCAGGAAAGCTCCTTTTACTAAATCCCTAAAAGATGGGCAGAAGTTGGGTCCTTAAACTAAACGCACAGTATCCTAACCTAGTAATTTTGACACAAAATTATTCTCTTGATTTGATCCAGCAAATCCAGCTGATTTTGATCCAGAGATCCAGCTCAATGCCAGAGTTCTGTTAGAAGTATTTAACAGCAGAAGATATGCTTAGGTGAAGTTTAATAAAACAAGCTATCCTGCTGGTTTTTCAAAAGTGCTTTGTAAATGTGATGCCTTCCCATCTTTTTCATCTATATGTCAAGTTTCTAGAGAAATTTTCAAAGCACTGTATCAAGTTCTAAGAATGTTGTTTAAAATTAGAGTGGTCGCACATTCCAGACATGCAGCTAGAGTCTCCATGGGCAGCTGGTGATCTGCAGAGCACCTTCAGGAAGTATGTAAGTATTTTAGTTTTGAAGTTCCACTTGAAAGTGCCAGGTGCTTGTATCTCAGCCAAGAAGAAACTTGCATCATTAGTATTTAATGACTGCTTGCTTCACAATTGAACACAAGGTTTCAAGGGATCCCTGAAAATGGTATTTGTCCTTTGTGGGATGTAACAGATGGGTAGTTCAAGGTACATTTGAAAAAAAAAAAAAAAAAAAGAAATTGGTCAGGCTGGGCTGGTTTTAAGTTTAAAGAAGCAGGTACAGAATCAGAAACAAGATTTAATGAATGATCAAAAAAGGTCACTCTTGAGTAGCTAAAGGTCCACTTGCCCTTAGCTTTCTAATATTTCAATTGTTACTTTCTGCCACCTCCCTTGACTGACCTTGGGCTAATTGCATATGTCAGCACAAGGTGACCCTGGGTATTTTGTCTCTTCAAATGCAGAGGCAGCTCTTTTTGAATGGAGAACCTTGCAGATGAGATGCAAGAACTTAATAGGAATGCTAATGGAAAATTAATGCTGAAGCTGAACAGCAGTGAAAATTAAGTTGTTTTGCTACATTTTGCTCAGCTCCTGAAAGTTTGAGAGTTATTTGGTCTGTTCATAACCCCATAAAAAAAGGGGAAGGGAGAAGGAATAGCAAGAAAATAAGGATCCCTTATTAGAATAAATAACATATATATGTAACAGTTAAATTTCTAGTGGAATAGGAAAAGTTTTGGGGCATTTTTGTATGCTCAGTTCTGTGAATTTTTTTTTTTTAAATGTAGTTTTAGAAGAATAAGATCACTGAAATGTTGAAGGGAGAACATAGCTTAAAATTGAAGCAGTTCTACAATCCTAAGGTACACATCATGATACCAAGCCTCAACAGCCACAACGTTGGTTAACTTTCTACTGAAATTATAGACAATTCTTACAACTCTGAGATTGTACAACTGAGTGTATAAGTGGCAGTTTTGTGTTCCATAAAGGCACAGTGCCACCAAATGACAAAGGGCAAAATAATCTGAAATATGAGGGAGTCTGTCTCTTCTGAAGAAACGGGTTCTGACCTGGCTGCTTTACTGAACCTGAATTTTCACTTGTGTTTTGTGTCTGGAATCCTGCTGGGCTGCTGACTGCTGTCAGATTTAAAGTGACCATTTATCCCACTATGTCAGTTTGTATTAAATAAGTCAGTAAGCTTCTATATTTGAATCCAAGCACAGAAAGATACAGGAGACTGACCATAAACAAGTTCAGTGGCAAAACCACTGTCTTCCTCCTAGCTTAAGGTTTATTAGTCTTCCATTTGTAGGAAAACTTGTGGGGTACTTTCAGTGCTGCTTAAATTGCTGCATACATGACAGTTAGGGGACACACTGAAATGTTCAGTGCCACTATTTTTTCTGTAAAGGCAAGGATTTTCTACCACTGTCCTCAATCATAAATATACCTTTTGCTTTGAACTTGGTGCAAAGCTGTTACATGGCCAGATGTAGCCAAATTGCTACCCATTGCCCTCTGTAATGTCCAATTGTGCATTTATAATAAATTAGAATGAAATAATGATGGCTTACCTATAGAAAATGGAGAAGATGAGAAGTAAGCTATTCTGACATATTAGTCCCTTGTGATGAACCACAGTTTTAGCAAGAAAATGGTTCGTATGTAACAGGCAGAGACTAACAGGCGTTTAACTGGCACAGCAAAATACTCCTGTAAGCACCTTCAAAGTGAACTATAAATGAGTTGGTGAAAAAAATGACTTAACATTACATCTCGAATTTTCTGGTAATACTGATTAATCCCTTTTTTTTAATCCCAAATGTGAATGCAAAGGGATATTTGCATACCTACTAAGATAAGGATAAAGCCAGTAATTTAAATTCATGCTCAAAAAAGAAACTTAAGTGCATGAGGCCATCATGCTTAATTTTAGTATTGCATTTAAGTTATAGTAGTGTAACTTGTAGGAATTGTTTTATCGCTGTTTTGATTCTCATTCAGAAACAGATTTCAGACTTGGGACCCATAAAAGCTGAATTTGTATTGGATGATTTAGGTACTAAGCTGTCTGATATGAATCCTCTAATAACGAACAATTTAATGGAAGGCAATATAATTTAAGATGACAATAGAGCAACTGGAAGTAGTGATCTTGTCAATGTCCTTCATCTATTTCTGAAACGAATACAAAATGTTACTGTAGTACCTCACAAAATCAGGGTTGTAGAACCAGAACTTTTGCCTTATCCTGGGACTGAGCTGGGGAAGGCCATTCTAAGAAGTGTTAGGACATTTCTTTGGCTCTGTCAAGCTGCTGTCCTATTCACACTTGCATGATCACAGGGGTGTCTTAACTTGTATTTTAAATGCTGGATCATTAAAATGAAAACAAATATCTTCATCTAATGAATGCTTCCAAATTAGCACAGGGTTCACCCTTCCCAGGTGGGGTGGTGCTTTGTGTCTAGAGGTCCTAAACCACACGAAGTAACATGTAGAAAGCGGCCAGCAGCACAAATACTGCATTCTTACAAAATTCAATGGCTGATTTAATTTATCACTAATAATGATGGCCTTGTTTTACACCAACAAGCATGGAAGGTGCTGGCTGTCCCCTTTATTTCATGAAGCAATTAGACAAAGCATTTGGTATCATGTATGTCTTCACAACAGCACATCTGTCACATACAGCAGGTTGATACCCTTTGTGTTACTGTTGGAACGTGAGTAAAGGGCTCTATTATCTATTCCTTTTTTTTCAAAATTGGGTGTTCCCCGTTGCCCCCAGTAGTCCTGTTTTCACCAGATAAGACCAAGACGGCAAGAAACTTTATGCTCAAATCCCATTTAAAGATTCTTCACAGTGCTTTTCATACACTAGCCTTCCTCTTCCTAGTAAGGTCTGACAAAGCCTTTGATCATGTAGCATCTCCTTTGCAATATCCCTCAAGCACTTTTAAATAGATTTGTTGCAAACAACAGCAACCAGCTCTTGACTACCTCTAACTATAGGTAGTTACGAGTGCAGAACATTGTAAATGTTAGAGACATACTGTGAATCTCCCTGAGAGCTGTTAGGTCAGGTTTACTTCCATTTAGTGTTATATTGTTTTCTTTTAGCTTCTCCACGGCTTTACACCATTTTCCAGTTTGTTTTCCATGTGCTCTCTTCCTTCAGTGATCTTTAGTGTGGGCCTAAGAAGCTTTTATGATCATTTTAAACATTTCAGAGTATTCTCAGTATTTGCTGGACAGAATGAAGAATCAAATAGTTAGAGGCTGTGCAAAAATGGACTGAGATGTATTTGGGTTTGTTACAAGCTACCTAAAATTTCTCTTGGCTTCTAAAACTGCCTAACAAAGAAAATCTGTGTCGGACGTATTCCATGTTTTATATACTATACCTCACTAAAAAGACATCTGATTTTTCAGTAAAGCAGAATGGCAGTCTGTGGTGTTGTTCATCACAATGGCTGGGACTACGCTCACAGATTAAAAGCTGCCAGAGTGTAGAGCTGGAGATTTGAATCTTCAACAGATTTGACCCTGTTGTACAGTAACAGGTACTCTGCGCTCTCGCGCGCGCGCTCTCTCTCTCTCTCTCTCTCTCTCTCTCTCTCTCTCACACTCACACACACACACCTGGCAAGAGGAGAAAAATCCAAGGATGCTGGCTGTTAAGAAAATCACAAGTCGAAAATCAGGGTTTGGAGTTATATGGGAACAACGTGTTTCAGAGTTTCACTTAATCTGATAAAAGCTTGGATGCACCGAGAGTGGTGGACCATAAATCAAAAAGTCAATTTCAGTTGAAGGATTTTCTAATTTTACTTGAATGTTAATTACTTAGTTTGGACTGAAGGAGCCAAAGAAAAGGGATTTAGGACTACTATAATTTTTCGTTAGCACTTGTAGAGGATTTCAAAATAACTGAGCAGAGGTGCTGCTATAGTGTTAGAATTTAAGAAA